GCCCCCCCACTCGGTCATGCGATTGACCTCGGGCGCGCCGTTCGGCCAGCATTATTCGGCTGCTTCTCGCCGTCGGCCACGCAGCGCCGCTGGGCGCGCTCGTTGCCGGCCGCTGCGGTGAGCGCTGGACCTCCGAAGACGAGCTCCATCAGTCCGCGCTCCAGCCTCGTCTGGCCAGACACGGATACCGGCGGGGAGGTAGGTGCCATTCGACAGCATGGTTCAACACATCGCCTTGCGTCGCATGATCGCATCCACGTATCAGGCATGCAAGTGACCTCGGCGAGAAAGGCAAAAACCGCACGATTCTGACGGCAGGGATCGGTCAACCATGCCCAACCCACATTCTGCCGAGCACCACCCCGGGTCGAAAACGACGTCTACCCCCACGCTCATGCGTTTGTGATTCCATCTTTTCCACCCATGCCGACCGTGAGTTATGAGCAAACAGGGCGTTACGAACATCAAGGACTTGGCTACACTGTGCTCCTCGGGCATATTTTGGAATACGAGCGTGGCCCCCAGGATCTGCCAGGTCCTCCCGGACAGGTCGGAAGGCTCTGGCGGGACCTCGAAGGTATGACATGACGTATCGACCCCAGCATGTAGAACATCAGCACGCAAAATGTTGGGACCAAGTGTCAACCAAAGCTCCCGAAGCTTCTCCTCCAAAACCAAGGGCCTCCACGGTGCCGCCCACGGCGGCGCCCCAGTGGCCACTGCCCCTTTCTGGGGGTGGATCCAACTAGTGCCCGCAACGAAAGACACGACAGTGGTACAGGCAGACAGACCCCTTTGGGGGCGACGCAGGTCCCTTGGCGGCACCACGGGGGGGGAGAAGAGGACGACGACGAAACGGCGGACACGACACTACGACTAACCTGAGGAGTAATGGAGCGGGGAAAGAGCGGAGGGAGGTGGCGGCAGTGGCGAAAAAGGTGCGTTGGCTGAGCTGTAGGGCTGCGGCAATTGGGAACGCGAGCGGCGAGCGGCAGGTGTAAGCGTGTCTGAGGCCACACTCGCCAAAGGTCGGATCGCCCACTCTCCCGTGGCCCATGGGGCATCCTAAAAGAGGCGGCCTCCGGTCGCAAGCAAGGGGAGGTTTGAGTCATCCCGTGGCGGTGGCCCCGTTTGGTTGCCTGGTGGCATGGACCCTTGACCTAGTCAGTAACCCATCATCCCTCGAGTGCTACCGGAGCGGTATGAGTGTTGGCCCGTCCTCAGCGGCGAGCCACGTGCAGGAAGAGGGCTGCTTAGCAAGAGCCCGACCAGTGTGCGGGCGGTGTCTCGCTGACAAGAGGGGTTACTTGAGGGAAAAAAGGCGAGCTGCGTAAGGGCTGAGGGCCGTGGCGCAGGCGGCAAGGCGAGGCACAATTGAGGCTCGGTGTTAGCTGTGAGCAGCGGCAACCCTGGCCTTAGGCTTCGAGCCGAGGCCGCCCCGGCCATCGCCAGGACGGCCTGCCTCCTCCTCCTGTCCTCCTCCTCCTCCTCCTCCTCGTCCTCCTCCTCCTCCTCCTCCTCCTCCTCCCCCCGTCTCCTCATCCGCCTCCACCTCCTCCTCCTCCTCCTCCTCCTCCTCCTCCTCCTCCTCATCCTCCTCCTCCTCCCCCTTCCTCCTCCTCCTCCTCCTCCTCCTCCTCTCTTCCCCTTCCTCCTCCTCCACCTCCTCCTCCTCCTCCTCCTCCCTCTTCTTCTTCTTCCTCCTACTCCTCCTCCTCGTCCTCCTCCGCTTACCTCTTACCTCTTATCTGCCGAGGCTGGTCGAAAGGGCGGGCCGTCTTCAAAATGGGGCTCTCGCCTTGGCCCCGCGCACATCCGTCTTTAAAGACCCCAACCATTTCACAGATGGAGGGCGGGTCGTTTGCAACATGTGGTTTTCGCATAAGTGCCGCACACATCCGTGTCAAACTTTCTTGGGATATTCATGGATGGAGGGCAGGTGGTTTTCAAATTGTGGCTATCGTGTCAGCGCCGCGCACACTCGTCTTAAACATTCGCGAGAGCTTCACTGATGGAGGGCGGGCCGTTGACAAAAGATGGTCCTCGCTTTAGCGCCGCGCGCATTTGTTTGGAAACAAATAAAACAATGTTACGGATGGGGGGCCGCGCCTTTTCCAAATGTGGTTTTCGCTTTAGCGTCGCGCCCATTTTCTTAAAGAGCTTACAGCACCTTCAAATAGTCTCATGGTTCATGTCCCCGAAATGGCGTGTTCAGGCGATGTCGGATTGTCAAGGCGTAGCCGTTCAGTTGATTCGTGGTGTTGTAGTCCCGTGAACCGCTGCCTTGCACAATCAAATATCGTCAACACGCGACGGTAACGATAATTCGCGGCGTTGCAGTCCCCGAGTGGTGTTCAGGCACAGCGCAGGATGTTGTAACGGGTGTTTTGCAACTGGGCACTTCCTGAAGTGAGCATGGATCCTTGTAGGGGCCCTGAAGAAGGAAGTTGGAGCGAGGGTTCATTGCAAAATCGTTGGTGAGCCTTGGGTTTCCACTGGTCCTCCTCATCCTCCTTCTCCTTCTCTTCATTTTCGCTCTCCCCGTCCTCCTCCAACTCATGCTTCTCATCCCCCTCCTCGTCCGCTCGCCTCCACCACGCCTCCCTCCCTCCCGTGCGCTACATCACCCCTGCGGTCTTTGAGACAGCATCTCAAGACCAAGAGGGGGACGATGCAAGAGGCCACGAAACCAATCCCCCAGTCCGAGGGCCCTGCAGAAACATACAGCGGGATGGTGTCGTGACGACTTGCGCGTTGTATTCCAACATCGCGTGGACCGTTCCACTTCGAACGATCGCGGCCTTCCGATAGTACGGGTCGTTCGAAATCGAACCACCGGCGGCATTCAACCTTTGACTCTCCCCGCGCCGAGGTCGCCACCGCGCTGACACGACACGAACCGACCGTGCCATCCAAGATCTTTGCAGCCCAAAGTTCGGGGGCGGGCAAGCATGGATTAGCGATCCATGGATTTGGCGCGCGGTCGCCAAATCCATGGATCGGGGGATACCCTCCCCCAAATGCGGCCGGTGCCGCCTCGTTCGGCGGCGGACATCAACAATTTTCAATGGAAACGGGACCCGTGGCTAATCCACGCCCCCTTGATCCATGTTTGCGATCGCCTGAAAAGTGCGCGCTAGGGCATAAGCGCCGACGCTTTGGGCTGCACGCGCGCATGCGCAGAATCGCAAACGCACGCCGGCAAGGCCGTGTCCGAAGGCGCCCCCAGGCCGGCCGTGGCCTGAGGGCGCGAGGGGGGTGAGTGCGCGGCAGTGGTTCGAGGCGTTACCCCTGGGCCTATCCATGGCGGCGCGCACAAGAGCGTGGAGAGAGGGGGGAGGGCTTCTTAGATGGAGGCTGCTTCTTGGAAGGCGCCGGCCTTACAACTATAGATAAGGCCCGCGCCTTCTAAGAAGCAGGGGTGCTTCCAAGAAACCCTCCCCCCTCCCCCCACCTCCCTCTGCGCGTGGCTGATATCCTCCCCGAGCTTTTCCCCTTAGCACTGGAGCATCGCATTAGCACCGGAACATCCCCAACATGTACAGGGCATCGTGCCGGGGTTCTTCCACAGGAACCACCAATCTGAAGCAGATGCCGTCAGGGCCACCGCAAGCGCGCCGCCGTCGACGAGCGAAAAAAAAGCAATGGACAGGCAAAGGGGGGAGGAGGACCAAGAGGCCTAAGGGGCGCCATAGGACATAGTTCTACCGTAAACGAAACCAAATCCGCCGTACCTGTCGGCGTGTTTGGGACTTCTTCCCTTTGAGTCGTCGCTGTAGCCGTCGCCGCTCCCCTCCCCCTTTCCCTGGGCCCTCGTCCTCAAGCGGTCCGGCCAGACGGAAATCGCTTCCTTTTGATCCCTTGCCAGGGGGGGGGGGGGGGGGGGGGCTTCGCGGGGGGGCTTGTGGGGGGGGGGGGGGGGGCGCGATGGGGTTCCCGGGGGTGGCGGTCTCCACCCCATGGGTCTCCCCCTATGGACAAAGGGGGGGTGGTCCCCTGTGGACAGGGGGAACTCAGATCCCCTCCCCCCGCCTCCCCCCCTGAGGCCAAGAGGACCACCCCCAACCCCCTCCCCCCAGACCCCACCCGCCAGAGGCACCCTCGTCACTCGCACGAGCTGTTGCGGGGTGCTTCCAAAGGCCTCAGATCCGCTCCGAGGCGGCTCCAAGTGACCACGGAGCTTCCCAAGAAGTCCACCCAGGTGCCCTCCCAACAGAGCCCCAGAGGCCCCCCAAAGCTTGGCTCTTCTGAATACGCCCAGGGCGTGTTCGCGATATCCTTTTGAACTCGGCGTGCTGGTAATCATTTGTTTAGCGATTCCAGGCCCCTAACAAGAGAACAACATACGCAACAAAACCTGTTTAGTTGCCCGTTTTGCTCCGTTGTTTAGCGGCTTCAGTTCAGTT